ACCTTATCCTTAAGCTTTTGTTTCTAGCGAGTTTTTCATAAAAGTAATAACAGTAATTTGTTTCAGGAGACAGACTGCAGTTTGTTGATAGGAATTTAGAAGTGGAATTCAAAAATTTTAAAACTTTTCATCTACTGAATTCATGTTCAGTGTAAAACTCTCCAATAGAGATGAAACATGAAAAAGACATGCACTTAAATACAAAAGTCTATATTCCTGTTTTACCAGTTTATGCAGTAAAATTTATTTTCGTTAAATCTGTGCCTTCATAGAGGACTTCATGACTGCTCCCCTGTGTTTAGTAATCATCTCTGTTTAACAGTCTGAACACCCTGAGGTAGAAATATTTTCACTGGAAGTTTATTATAGCCTGAAGTTCACAATTAATGTGCAAATAAAAAGGAGCACAGAGACAAGAGAGAAGAATGGTAGTAGACAAGGATTTTTAAAATACAGTAAGAAATTCTGATAACATTTCTCTATTATTTGGAAGACAGTCTTGGGATTATTTCCATCTATCAATCTAATCCAAACAAGGCTTATTATGTGCTATGGACAAGGAAATAAAGCACAGCTGTGCGCAGGAAACAGGAAAATGGTAGTTCAACATCAATGAAGATAGCAATGACTACTGATCCAGGGTTTTAGTTACTGCAAATTTAGGCATGCATATGAAGATTTTCATTGTTCGCCTATATAACTGCAGAAATAATATAGTATTTCACACCAAAGATGCATTACCAGAAAAAATAAGTTAATATTTCTCATAACCAGCCTAGTATACTCAATTACTATTCAGCATTATAAAGCAAAGGGTTTGTCTCTAGCAAAGAGAATGGTCAATTCCTATCTCTGTGTTCCCAGGGCTCAATCAACGCCTTTGGCTGAAGACCACTGGCCACTGCTCTGTTCATTATCCTACAAATAAAAACACTCTATACCTTTCTTTCAAGGCTCCTTCCACACTTAAATAAGAGAAAATGCAAATGCATCTTGGACAGTAGTTTGTAAAATATTTTATACAACAAAAAAGCACAACTGGGACAAAAATTCATTTTCATCTAATCATTCAGAAAGTGACCAAAAAGGAAAAATAAATCTATTTAATTTATATTGCGTATTTGCCACATGTAATTTCACAGAAAGAACAAAGAAAATTCCTTAGGTATTCAACGAAAGATACATTTAGAGTTAAATGTTAGCTGTTTAGGATGGATTGTGCATGTTTTCACACAAGCTTCCCAGGGCTCCAAAATTTTACTTAAACATGGATGTTGTTTCAGTTCTTAAAGCCATTACCTGTAACAATCTCTTGTCATCTTTTATTACTTTGTTACGATTACCATTTTTTTTAAGACTTAGAAGGTTAGCAGCGAGTCTTAACACTTAGAAAATCTAAAACATAACACACATTTTATGGACGACTTTGAAGTTAGATTTTTTAATTTTATTTTAACCTATTTTATTCTAAGCTCTTCTTGCTATGTTGTGAAGTCTCTGGAACACGAATACTGTTTAGAGACAAATTTCTTAGATAGCAGATAGCAAATTTCTTAGATTCTTAGGTAGTTTAAACATCTTCATACCTTTTCTTTGTGTGGCTTTACCATTAAATCCAAGTTAGCTGAACTCACTTTGATATTGTTTAAAGTGGTTCTAGTGGAAACTTTGTCTGTACACAATGAACCTAAAAGAAAAGAGTAATATGAGTGCACACACATATATATAGTCTAGCCTTTCATACCAACAACTGTATCAGAACTTAGTCTCATTAATACACAGGTATATCATTTTAGTAGACACACTTTTAAACAGAGCTGAAAAAATATAAAAAGCAGTGCAATTTCACAACATGCAAACATCATTTAGCTACAAAGTGAAGAACTGATTAGGTAAGATACTTTAAAAGTTCAACTCAAATGGCATCGAGAAAAAAAGTTTTCTTTCTTTCAATTCTGTATTCTTTGATCATTCCCAGGAAACTGGCCATGCTCAGTAGAAAAATAATAGTTACAATGAGTAGCTTTTCAAATACAGTTGCAGAGAGAGAGAAAAAAAGACCAAACAAACCAAACCCCCAAGCCCCATATATCAATAACTTGAAGTCAATACTGAAGAAAAATAAAAAATAAAAAACATAATAATAATAATGTGCTCTGGGATAATTCAAAGCATTCAGATGGTAAAGGTTTATATAAATAAGGCTAGACAGATTTATAATGCAAATGAGTTTAAATAATTGGTAAAAACTGCTAAGAAAACAGGGTTATCTTTAATTTTTGTTAAAAAGGTGTCTTTGGAAGAATAATACCTTACTTTATGTAACATTTATGTAAAAATCACCTTCATCCCATTCCACCTCATTACCAGATGAGCCTGCTGAGATTTCTGTAGTTATGTCAGTGTTAGTCTGCTCTGCAAACTGCCTGTTTTCTATTTGAGGACAAGGGGGCAGCATTTGCTCATGAAGACTCTCCATTTCTTTCCTCATTTGTGTAATAGTAGCTCGAAGGTTGTCATTCTGCTTCTGAAGTTTTTGTACTTCCAAGGTAGGAAAATCTTTGTTAAGAGATCTTTTATCATCACACTGAAATATCTACAAAATAAAATTACAGTACAATAAGAACAGCCTTTATTAACAAACAATGCAAACAGTCTCTCCACAACATTTCACACAAGGATCTTAACATTCCAAATCCATAAACAAATTAGTGGAAAAGAACCACAGAAAGGAGGGAAAATCCAGCTATTCTGAGGATTTGCTTAAGAAAGCCTTTTGTTGAAAGCCCAAGATAGGGAAGGGCACAAAAGGGGTGAAGAGGGCTTGTTCTTCTGAGTATTCTCTCTCTCTCTCTCTCTCTCTCTCTCTCCTACCCCATCTCCCCATAGAGACCCCATAGCCTTGTTTAAGACTATAAAGAGGTTGGAACTCCATTGTTACACAGGAGGAAAAAAAAATAGCAGTCAGATTACAGTGAAAGAACCCTTCCTCAAACATGATTCCCTTTGTGTTTGAATGATTTAATGTACAGCTTTTGCATCAAGCCCAGTTTCAGATGAAATAAGAACAATCTGTTTCATAAGTTTTTGCTACCAGTCTATTCTGACTCTCAATTTAAATGTAAAAGTTGTCTTCAGGAAGTTGTCTTCAAATTATTTTCTGTATTCAGAAAATACATTAGACTTGCTTAACACTGCTTTTTCCACATCAGCCAAGTCTGATTCTCACTCATGTACTCTTGAGCAGCTGCAACTGCTCAAGAGCTGCAACATACGAAGTGCACTACAGTACACTCCTATTCTTTATAGGAATCTTTTCTTAATACTTCTCTGCCAAAAGAATAAGGGATACAACCGCCAAAATTAGAAAGAAATCTCTCCCAGAATGACCAAGTATATATCCTGAATTATCCATTTTAAAGCATTTAATTAAAAGTTTAACTTTAGAACTTAAAAATTTACTCTGAATTTGAACTAACACAGAGTCAGGAACACATAAGAAAACAATTCTACCTACTTGAAGTGCCACAATACTACAGTACATTGTGCTTTTTGCACAATGTTTACATATGCTGTTTATAATGGTTACATCTGCTTTGCTCCTTCAGCCAGCAAGTAGAGGGTCAGACTCATAATGAATCCTGAAACACCCAATTAACATGCATTCCAGGCTACATATGTCTACATTTTGAATTGAACAGGGGTCTCAAATGAACTGCTTACAAGACGTCCAGTGGAAAAAAGCCCAGGGAGGTTGTCATCTCACTGTGAATCCATCTAAGATGGTAATTGTTTTCTAACCCACTTCCCCTCAGGTAAAGAATTTTTCCTCCAAAGCGCTTGCGTTTTTTGTTCTTCCTCAAAAAGAGCAGGCAGAACAGCATCCATTTCACACAGCCTGTATTCTGCCTTCTCTAGATCAGCTTCAGCCTAGGACGACTGGGGCAGGGGGGCCGTTTAGAACACAGGACAGGGACTATACATAACTGATGCATATCCCTTTTGCTTCTGTCAAAAACTTCCCTCATGGAAAAATAAATTTGGCTTCCCTGTCCCAAGTCCATCCTATGAAATGGATAATGACAATTGTCCTCTCAGATGTATTCCTCTGCTATTCCTGTTCATGTCAGAGAATAATTTTGAAAGAAAACGGTAAAGATAAAACACCAGTTTAATAGTCTCAAGGGTGGGGGAGATGCTAACACTGTATTTCGTTTACTTTTCCAGAAACAGCAGTTAGTACACTTCACAAAACAGCTCACTCCACATGTCTAATATTGCTCCCTTGAGAGAAGATAAGCTGAACTATGATCCGTGAAATCCCGTGAAAGCCTTGGCCTGTGGCTGCTCTGGAAGAATATTTCTTTTCCTACTAGAGCACCAAGAGAAACAAAGTCGCAACTCTTAGGCTGTTTTGACTTCATTATAAGTGGTAAAAAGGCAGTTAGATGTGTACATATTCATGAAAAATACTCTAGTTTATGATAATCTACATTTGATGACCTGCCAAGCACAAAACAAAAGTAATATTTAATGGGATTTTGAAAGTAGACTGAAATCGAGCTTCCCATGATGAACAACAGGATGAAAAGAAACTTTGCAACCCTCTTTGCAACAGATGTTTCTAAACAAAGGTTAATTTGATTTTTTGACCTGCTCGCTTGCTGAAGACAGGCTTTGTATCAGATCCTGTGATTTTTGATACTGATTTCTTTCAGCATTCTCACAGTGCTGCCGCCAGCCCAGTTCTTCTTGTGCTTTCCTGTGTTGCAGGATCTGTTCTCCTTCAGCTGCCAGAGCCAGTTGTTGTTTATACCTATGATAAGCGGAACAAAGCTGAAAGTGTTTGTTACTGTTGATTCCAGCAGATTAAGTGTTAAGATATTAACAAGCACTCAGCCTTGTTTGTTGTGCTCTTCTTTCCTTGTTCTATTTTGGGGAAAAAAAGAAGTCTATTCTATTCCTAATAAAAATATTTTCCTAGATTGAAGCTTTTACAATACTAAAACATTAAGACTTCAGGGCAATCTTAAAAATGACTTTAAATGGCACTTTGTCCAAAATACTCTTCACCATTCTGCATCTTCCTGGAATTTTGCCAACTGTACTCTCAACAGCTTCTCTTCTTCTTGCATTGACATTGATTGACTTTGGAAGTCATTAGAAGTAAACCGTTTACAGATTTCAAACAGTTGAGAATCTCACCCTGTTTTTAGTGTTACAAGTTCTTCTTTCAATCTATATCCAGGAAAAGGACAAAAACAAAACCCATAACTCCTGAATACTTCACGTGAATACTTACAAAAACGTCACCAAGCCAATGAGATCATCAAACCAAAATTAGCAGATAGCTAGTATTTTAAACAGCATTGATAGGTAGGCATTTTAAAAGAATCTTGAAATAAGATTTTAGAGGTTATGCTTCTCAACATCCTTAGATACCTTAGACATGTCAAAATTAGACATGAAATTGCACTGCCACGGCCATAAGTTAGTCTTCTGAAAGAAGCAGGAGTCTGGAGACAACATAAGTTAGGATTACCAGTGATAAAGACAAGTATCATAAATAGCCATTATGTTAACCTCTGGTCAGGATATTGTCTTTTTTTTTAATAAAAAAAAATAGCCTAAACATACAAAGAACTTTCAACCCACAAAAGGCGATCATTTGTAGGTGTTGCTAAGACCTCTGTCATTCTTATTGCCCATCCCTACTTGCTAAGGGAAATCAAGTATTATAAAATATTGTACATACTGACTTTGGAAAATGATCCATTTCAGATTTCTTTATCACAGCAACCACATATATCTAAGAGGAAGTGCTGCAACTAAATGGTATCTGGCAGCATCTTCTTTGTTGAGGGCAGGCAGAAAGATGAAAGAAGCAAAAACAGTTTTTCCTCTCAGATATGATATAAATGTGTTTTTGTTGTTGTTGCACATGGGTAGGTACCTCTTAGATGAACAGCTGCCTATTGATCCTTCTTCAGCTAAGACAGAATAAAGTCCTCTAAAATGCCTCAAATTTAGAAAATTAGTTTGAAATTTCCAAAATCCAAAACACTTCTGATTGCCATATTTTGTAGAAAGTGAAAAACAAGTTTTTGTAAAACTACCCCAACTCTGACATTGGGATCAAAGGGCTCTGAAAAGGAATACTTCTATAGACATTTTTCAGGCGATGGGTCCTCATAAAAAATGAATAAATACATTTCTGGGAAGATGAGTAATGCTAAATCAAACAGCTATTTTTAGTGCAGTGTACATTTTCATTGGAGCTTAGGATACAAGATAAATCAGAGAACTTACTTTTCGATAATTGCATCTTTCTCACTTAAACAAGCACAATGACTCCATTCTCTTCTATGTAGCTCCATTTCCAGAATCCTGTGTCTCATTTGAAGTTCCCTAATCTGTTTCTCCAAGTTTTGTAACTGTTCAGCTTGTGCTTCTTTCATTGAAGCTGGCAACACAACCTTTTCTTTGGCAGTATGATCTAGTACTTCATTTCTAAAAGAGGAAGAGAAACAGAATAAAGTGAGGTGTAAGCAACCAAAACATTTCCCTCCTCTCCCTAAGGTGTTGATTTACTTTCTCATCAACTTTGAGCAAATTTAGAGAACCATTGTCACAAGCTCTTCAAACAGAAATTCATCTCAGCTCCTCAGTGGAACAGTTTAGTGTTTTTATTTTGTTTTGAACTCAGAATGGCACTGCTTGAATGGATTCAACATGGGGCAGAATCTTCCTTACATCAGTGCAAAACTTTAGCTCCAGTTAATCACAGAACTTTGAATTTGGGCTTAGAACAAACAGCAACAGCATTCACTTACTAACAAGACTGGAACTATTATGCCATACTAATAATATGCTAATTAAACAATTGGAAGGACATTCTAATTCCTATATCCTAACTCAGCAAATATTGGAGAAAGAGTAAAAGCAGATTTAGAAACTTCAGAGTCCAGATAATTGTGTTTATAAGTTAAAAAGTTGGGCAGAAGGGCTCAACTACACAGCCAATAGTGTAAAAATTAAATGTGTGAGCATTCCCTGAGCATTTTGCAAAACATACTTGTGAGACTTCAGTTCTTTCTCTGTTCTGTCCTGAAAAAAAATCAAAAAGGAGCAAAAAAACCCAAACTTTTTTAAAAACAAAAATTCTAGAAAAATAATAAAAAATGAGATTGTAATTCAGCTATATACCTAACCTCCATTTAGCAGCTAGCCATCTGAGTTCCTGTCAAAAGTTAGTTTTGTTTATTGATGCTTATGCATCAAGCAACCCAACATTAAGGTGAAAGCAAGCAACTAACACCTTCAGTTCTTATCCCCACTCATGTGGGGACCTGTCCTCTACCTCAGGAGTTGCCTTGTCAAATCTAGTAAAACAACTAGGGAATCTTCTTTCCCCAGTCAACACAGGCAATCTGGAATTAACATAAGCAGCAAGGTAGTCCCAAACTCGCACCTTCCTCCTAACAGGAAGGTAGGAGACTTTACTTCTTAAGTAAAAGCCCTCATGCATCCTTCTACAAAAAGTCATGAGAAAACAGCTTCAAATCACAATTGTGATACGAACTGTAATTCCTTTCAAAGTTTGCCCACCTTTAAGCAAAGACAGAAGGCAACACTGAACTATAATAACTTTTAAGATAAAATTTTACTTTTAATGGGGGCAGATTATATTCAGATAGAATGCATCTGAATTTAGCTGAAATCCATGATACTTAGCAAATATTTTATACCAAGGCTTACTTCTTTTTGTTGCAACAGTGAAGAATAAAGTTGAAAGGCAATTTATTTTGATCATATTCAAATTTATACAATACCGAGCATCTTTCACAGCTACAGAATCTTTACATTTGCAATCCTTGAATTTGATCTCTTTCTCCAGTGTCAGAGTTTCTGCTCTTTGCAGTGATTCTGCAGCTTTCATTCCAGTCTCTTTCAGGGCCTCCAGTTCTTTGGTCAGCAATTTAACCTTAAAAAAAGGAAGATAAGACTCAAGAATTCTAATTAGCCCCTAATATTCCAGAGCATTTACATAGCTGAAGTGTTAACAACTTCTTCAAGAAAAACAGATAAAACTTAAAGTATTAAACAATTTGAATGATATAATTTAGTGCCACAAAAACACTTTAAAACATCCTCCTCAAAAGTTACAGCCTCTGCTGTTCCTTAAACATCTACTTCCCTATTATTTCTAAACACTCATTTTGTATCCTTTTCCTACACCTATTATCTATGCCAACATCAATCCCACATACTGCTCCTCCTATATCTTCCTCAAGTTCCTTTCACAGTTTGTATTCAGTGACTTTGTGGTTTATCCCACAGCTTGCCTCACTAATACAGCAGACAAGCTCTCCTTCCGCTTAAAACTTCCACCACTAATTCAACTACAAAAACAGTTCTAAAACATAACTTAATATAGACAATATGTTTCACAAAGGAAAACATCAGTCTGTTAACATGTACCACACACAGAGTATTGAGAATTACTGTGCTGAGTGTGTCTAACACTGCATATGGTGTTAAAGAAAGAAACTGTATTGGAGATATTTAAAAATACATCCAACTCTCAAAACTACAGCAGTTAAAATTTCCTTCTAAAGGACTATCAGAGGTATACTGCACACTACACAGTAAACAGTAGCATATATACTTATTAAATGCAAGTTTACATATGCAAGTTGCTTTGTTCATACTAAGTTAACAGCAGTTGGTCTTGCAATCTTTATAGCCAAGACTACAATAATAGAAAGTTTTAAGTCCATTATTAGAGCAGCAGTTTTGAAACAAATGAAATAGAAAACTTCACGGACCTAAACAATTTTGTTGTTTATACAGAGGAAAAGCATGGTAACTAAGTATGAAGTTAAGATGCACACTGCAAGTACCTCTGCTTCCTCTTGTCCTGGAAAGAACTAGTTTAACACACATGTGGAAGGGGAAATAAAAAATAAAATTAGCACCATCATGTTTTCATGCGTTTCACACAGGAGTAACTTGAGATAATAATTTACTCTATGAGTAAAGCATAACAGTTTAAATAACTTACTTTAACCTCATGGGACAGAACTAAGTTACTCATTTCGTTTGTCTGTTGTCGAAACTCACATTCTCGTCTTTTCATTTCTGCATCGAATTCATATAGCAGTTCCTACAACAATGGGAGCGGTAGACAGGTAAAGCTAATAGAATAATACTGATAAAGAAACACTGTACTTTCTATATATATGTATATATATATATATATAATATATATATATTTCTCTACTGAGGATCAGAACATTGTGAATAAAACCTACCATCTGATCTATGCTAGTTCCCCTAACAAGACTTGCACATCTTATCGAGGGCTTATAGAAATACAACAGCAAAATGACATCGTCTGTAAAGTAACCTCACATTCCACAACAATATGAAAAAAATGTATATATACACATGTATATACACACATACATATATATATTAAAAAGTCCACGTTATTTGAATAAAAACCTTATAGAGACTTTAAAGCTCAATTTCTATACAGCTTGATTTCTAGACATCTTAGCATTTGCAGTACAAAGACTATCCACATAGAAAATATCAACATTTTCTTTTAATTCTCAGATGAGCAGAGAAGAGAGAATTTTTTTTTAAACTAGGTGCATTATTCAGAGACAAGTCATATCACCTGCAGATGGCAAATGGGTTTGGACTATCTTGTACTGCACAAACAGAATTTGCTTCAGCCCTGTTTACCACAATTTTAAATAAGATTAAGTAAGATTTTAAACATAAAATAAGGATAAACAGAACCTAAAAGTACGTTCACAGGAGTACTACATGCCATAAGCACATTTTTTTAAAAATGTTTTCCTTTATTTATGGACAATCTATTACCAGGAGTTAGGACATCCATTTTCTTATAAACACACACATGTGTATGTGTGTGCTTGTGTACACACATGGGAAATTAATGATGATAAACATTTCACCATATTCCCTTATTTTTGCAGAGCTTTTTCAGGATCATGACACAAACAGTACTAAAGCACAAATTTTAAAAAATGGTCATTGACAAACTACACATGAAACATGGTAAAAGTACATTACAGAAATGTATAAACCCAGGTCTAAGCTTTTTGTTCAAGTTAAGCAAGACAATGCATTGCTTTTAGTAGGAAAAATCTTGGCTGCAGTCAAGATGCTCTTAAGGGGAATAAACGTTGACCTACTAAAAAGCTAAATAAAAAATAAAATAAAGCCTTACTGAAGAGTGAAACATTTTCATATCGGAGATAGCAAACCGACATGAGGTTTGTTGGGAGAGAGAAAGCTATGGGAAATACTTCCTGTCGTATTGCCTATAGAACTGTTGAAATAGTGAAGCATTTAAAATATAAATCACAGAATCCCAGGATGGTTGAGGTTGGCAGGGACCTCCAGAGACCATCTATTCCAACCCCTGCTCCAGCAGGGACACCCAGAGCGCGGGGCACAGGGTGGCATCCATGGGGGTTTGAAGATCTCCAGGGAAGGAGCCTCCACGGCATCTCTGGGCAGCCTGTGCCAGGGCTCTGGCACCCTCAGAGGAAAGAGGTTCTTCCTCACATGGAGATTAAACTTCCTATGTTTCAACCTATTACCCCTTTTTCTATCACCGGCCACCACAGAGAAGAGCCTGGCCCCATCCTCCCTACAGTTTGTAAGATACTACTTCCAGGATTGGAACTGATGATTCACGATAGCGAGTTAAAAGCAAGAGAACAAGAGGTGAAGGGAAGAATGCAAGATAGCATGTTAGATGAAGGGGAATTAAAAAAAAAAAAAAAGTTACTATAAATCGTGTGCATTAAGTGATATGCCCTTATGCTCAAGGAACAGCATCTGATCAGTTTTATCATTATAATTTAGCCACACACACAAAGGTAACTTCTAAATTAAGCCAATTATCTAATGTTTTCCAAGGGAACAGTGCTCACACTCTCTAATGTAGCTATCACTGGGAACCAAGTGGGAGCCAGACTCTATCAGAGCTATCATTCTGAGGGCAGGGAGATCTGGCCGAGTAGGTTCAAGCTGCAATTCCACAGCAATAAATCCTACCTTTTTAATTCTTTTATACATGTTAGTTTGGATGATAGAGCAAAAAATAACCATTTTAACAAGTTATTTAACTAACTATTCTATAAAAAGAAATTATAGCAAAATAAACACATTTTAATATAAGTGTAAGGAGGGAAGATTTTGTTGTTCTTGTAAATTTTTGCAATAAAAGCTCAGCAGCTTCTCTGTCAGTTGATTTGATTATCTTTTTATGATGAAAATATAGTAATTTAAGAAGCAAAGGGGACAAAAGAAACAAACAAACACACACTTGAAAATAGGACTATGACACACAGAATAAATTTATCTACCAAACTTGCCTAAAGCTGCCTCTGCTTTCTAGACGCTGACCTTGGCTTAAGTTTCAAGGTTAACAAACAGCACTGAGCTGTCGACGTACTTAAAAGAATCTTACACTATCTCAGATTACTCAACGCAGTCGTAACAGTTCCTCACAAGCAGCAGCTGCCAGATAAGTGAAGCTACCATATAAACACTAAATAAGACCTAGAAGTCCAAAACATTTCTAAACTGTCATCATATATCTTGTTGATCTAAATAAAAAGGCAAAAATAAAAGCTTACACGACTATTTTAAACCAGCGCACACTAACAAGACGGCACAGTTTGATAGGTGGCGCCCTAACGCATCATTGTTCCTGCATATTTTTATACCTGTTTCTGACAGGCAAGCTCTCCTTCCAATTCTTGGAGTTTTCTTTCCATGACATGTTTCAGACTCACATAGTCCTCACACTGATGTCCCATCTTGCTGTTCTTAGAGCTGTAAACAAAAATAAAAAACTTTGCATTAATGCATGGCTCTCTTGGAGGCAGTCTTTTTTTCTTTTTTCCTTTTTTTTTTTTTTTTTTGGGTGGGGGGAGGAGGGGCAGAGAAGGGGGACTCTCGAACAGCGAGTTGCACATAATTAGAAATACGAGACGCAATAAGTCCCTAAGGGAACAGTCACCTTTATAAAACTAACTAATCCTCCTTTTACTACAGATCACTAGAAATGAGTATTTTTAAAATTATCATGCACATAAGAACTGAGCAAACCATTTAAAACAACATGATCGATCATGGTTTAATTGCTCAATCTCTCTTTTAATATAACATACAAACTTTCACTGATTTTTTCCAAGATGTTCAATCTCTTTTTAAAGAGGTGAAATAATGCAAAGTATATCATAGCTCTTGATAAATTAGTCAATTATTCATTTCCCTAACAAGGAAAAAAAAAAAAAACCACACACGCCACAAACAAACAAATACTGTTTCAACAGCTTAAGCGCGTGTCACTATAACTCTCAGGCACTAGGTTTTACTAGGGTGTGAATAGCACTCTTACTAGACACTCTCTATTATGCAAGCCTGCTCCACACTCTTAGTCTCCCCCTCAGCCTATCATAGAAAGTGTTCACTGGTGAAGCTCCATGAGAATCCAACTTGATTGTTTTCTGTGATACAAGTTGCTCTCCACCTCTTTTCCCTGCTCTCCAATAGGCCTGGACCTGTATATATTGCCAAAATCAAAAGCTAATACCAGGTCTTTAATCCCAGTGGTACGCCCCTGATCCCTCTGGAGATCCTGCACAATCTCTTAGTTGGAACATTCACACCTTGGAGCTTGCTGAACTTGTAATTCAGCGTGACTCTTTTGAGTGTTCTTCTGAGTAAAGGTACATTCTGACAAGCAGCAGAATGAAAACAAACATTTTTTGAATTTGTTTGACCTTACATTATGTTAGACATGCATTTGTCTGTGCCCTCTTTATTTATTGACCAACAGCGATTCATGAGAAGTCATTTAAACACAAAATCTGGACTAAGGGAAAAAAATAGTCCCACTATTTCCATAGACTCTAGTCATAACGACGTCCCAGAAAAGCTTTCTTTGACTGCATCTTCTCCTACTGGTAGGTCATTTTAGACACAAAATCTGGCTACAGTCAAGAAGTCAAGATGGGGAAGGAGTTTCTGTCAGCAAGCATACAGAAAAGGTCAGCGTGATAATATGTAAGATTGGCAGCAGCAGACTTGAACAGAACTTGTCCTAACACAACCTCTACTGCCAGTAGAGTTACAATATCACTGTGCAGGGTAGGTAGTTTATAACTTTGCTTATAAACCTTCAAGCTGTATGAATACGTACATCCAGACTATAGCTTCCCCATGAAAGCCCTGTTTGAAATGCATCATTCTCTTCCCTCATTGGAAGAAGGAGGTTTCACTGCTCAAAAAGAAGATGAAGCTTTTCTTCTAGAAAAAAATAACAAACAAATCCCACCACATCTATCTCCGACTCTCTCTTTATATTTATTTTTTTCAAATAAAGAGCAAGTAACAGGTAAGAACAATGTACCCATTTTTCTCCCCAGTCCTTAGCAATATAAAAATCTACATGACTTTCATAGCTGGTATAACAAGAGTGCAACAAGTCATTACTCTTCTCATGTTAACTTAGGTGACTATAAGTTATTTTTATATAAGTTATTCCAAATTGTAAAGAGACTACATGCACTGCATCAGTTAGTTAAAATGGAAATTCCTTATTCCTAATCCAAGTTTATAAGACATGGAAGAGGTCAGAACTACTAATGATTAGAAAGTCCCTTAATATATGAAAATAAAGATCACTTCTCCAAGTTAGCAATAATATAACTGGCCAACGTTAGAGATCAAGTTGCTGATTACAGGAGAGACTGAGGAATCCTTGATCTTTTACTTTGGAACCTGAGAATACAGCCATATACCACTCGTTATGAATTCAAATACATGGCAGTCTACCATTTCAATTGGCTACTCCTCCTATTTCTCCCTCAAATCTATCTTGTTCTTAAGCCTTCTAGTTACCTGGATAAATTAATATCTGTAGACTCTAGCAATCCAGTATGTAACCAGGTATTGTTGAAAAGACATTGGGTATATGGATGTAGAATAAGAACTCCATGACTTTGATTGAGGGTTAAATATTTTGAGTATCTTTCATAATGCAGCAATCCAGACCACAACTGCCTCTTCCTTTCTCTTACTGCCTATGCTTCTTATATATGTTACTCAAGAGTTTGTATTTGGGATATTTAAATACCTCCATAAAAACAACACGTCCCCCAAAAGTCAGTGCAAGTGCTTACGTTACATGTTAAATCATTCTAAATGGAGTTTTGATCAGACTTCCTCCACACTCCATCACTGCCCATTTCCCCATTCATTTCTAGAAGTTCTTTCTACAATTCCTCACCATCTCATTCTAGAAGTACCTTTTTCCAGTATGTGGAAATAAGAAAGAACAGGATGCTTAGAGGGGAAAAAAAGTGAGGGGAAGAAACTCATGATGTATTACAACAGGAAAAACAAATGTCAAGAAATACTCTGACAAATATCTGACAACCTGATTACAATTTTCCACTAATATGAAGAACAACTTTTAAAGCAAACCTTAGATAAAGCCATGAGCTGAGCAGCCTCAGAAGAGAAACTGAAACTACACTTGTGTAGCAACAAGCCTTCAAAGCAGAAAGCTGGAGCATTAATTTCAGTTTCTGTTTGAGACAAACCAAGCTATACAGTCCAACTATCACCCATTTCTCAAAATGACTTGCTAAATATAACTGTTACAAGTGAACTTAGAATACGCCAGATGACTGAATTTCAGGCAAAAAGCACAAAAAGAAATACAGAATCCGCAGAGAAAAGTAAGAGGGACAAAAGTAAGAGTACGCAATGAAGCATTTTGTAAAGTGCAATGGCAAAAATGTTGAGGTATAACCAAGATTCTGAAAGATCATGAAAGAAGCACCTATACTTTTTTCCAAGATTTATATATATAGAGAAATAAAAAAAATAATTGAGAAAGGCAAAATTAAGTGCACTCTTTGGCTACCTTGATCTTTCAATTGGTTAGACAGGCCATAAATCCCAGCCCTGTGACTGGATATGCTCCAAAGGATTTCTTTCCTGCAGGAAGCCTATCAGACAAGATGCACTCAACAGCCCACAAACGCTATTCCTATCAGAGGAGTAGCTTGCAATAGCCTAAAATAATTGAAAGGCTGAAACATACATTGAATCCGCAGCACAAAAAGGCAATAACTGTTTAGCAATCTTAGGTAATAGTAATTATAGTAATAGCAGAAAAAAGTTATCATTTAACTCCTTGCATACAAAGTAGACAAATGTATCTCAATATAATGCATAGGGGACATACATTACAACAGTTTCAGACACATCTCATTGCCCATGGATAAAGTGCCTCCCTTGGAAAAAGCATCCCCTCCGACAAATCTTTTTTAGTTCCCCAAACCACGTCTCTCCACTAATCATACCACCTCCTCAGCATACACCCCTGTAAATACCCCTTGTAAATAAGGGCATGCTGTTTAACAGCATCCCTGATTTTACTTATCATCAAGCCTTCCTTAAGGTATTTCTAGACATTGTACGAGTCTCTGGTGGAGAAATATAATTAAATAAATAATCAAGATACAGGAGATGTAAAGACAGCCTGAGTCACTTTTGTCTGCCCTTGCTCTGTTCATGCTCTAGGAATTCCTCTGTCAGAGCAAATAATCATATCTCCATGTTCAAAGTGCTCTCTACTGTATGAATTATATTACTGCTTTACCCCCATCTAAATATACTGTAGAGAAACTAGGTTTCTCGTTTTCTGCATACCATTTTAAGGGAGCCACATCTCACCTGCAAGATTGTTTGAGCTCTAATTTATGGTCTTTAAGGTTTTGTTGATAGCGATAAAGTTCCTCTCGTTTTTTTCTTTCCTTCACAAGTGCTTGCTCCAGTTTATCTAGCTGTATTCTAAGATCACTAATCTCTGCCTTTTTAGCATTTTCAGAAGCTTTCAGGTGAGTGACCACAACATCATAGCATTCTAACTCTTTATCTCTCTCTTCCAAAATTCTCAGATTATAGACAAAATCTTCTTTTAATTTGTTAAATTTTTCATGCATGTCCTGCGGTTGCTTTCTGACATCCTGCAGTGCTGTCTTTTCACAGAAGAACCTGCAAGCCGGTAGTTCTTTCCATTCTTTTCCATTCCACTTATGTAGCTCATTTTCCATTTGTAACTCTGTTTATTAATCTAAAACAAAGGATGATAGAAGACAATTAAGCTTGTTAGGATATATTTGATTTGTCTTATTTATCAGTCTACAGCATAGCATAACTGATTATTAAGTTTTAAATTTCAATTCTAAAATTTTCCTGAACATTAGTTAACAATTCCTAGAGGCAGAATTCTTTCTTATTTATATTAATGGGCTATCAAGGGATATATTTTTCCAATCTAATTACCACAATGCCACTACCATGGGAAAGAATATTCTTTGCCCTTTTAAACAGGTGGAAAACAGAAATATAAGAAAAAAAATATTCATTAAGAAATCCTGTGCTTTTCACTGAAAATTCAGAGCAGTATACTCCCAAAAGAAGAGCTGTAAATTGCATGTGTATTTCTCATCTCTTGAAGACAATTGTAAAAAATAAGGCTGGACTGTGATTTGACTAACTTCATATTGCACTGCTCAATAGGTGTTTCTATCCACTAAAATTTTAATTTCTCTGTCCCATTTATCTTGACACACTTCCCAGTCTCCTCCTCCCTATCATTTCCTAGCCATGGACTACAGAGTTCCTTGTTCTGTCCTCTGTCAAATCCATCTCCAGATCACTTTTCAGAAAGCCCAACAGGTATGATGAAATAGCTGTATTTAATTGCATCTTTAAAAATAAAGAAACAATACAGAGGTCATGTGTTCCTTTATCTGCTTCACATCCACCTCTTATCCATGTCTGCCTCATATCTAATTATAAACTGTGTAGAATTGTTGGATATTCTTCTAAAAGGTGCATTATTCATTTTGATTCAGAGAGAACAAAATAAGAAAACAAAAGAAAAAGTAATCTCTGCTCAGCACATTTTTCCAAATCTCCAGAGTCAATACAGCTTCTCTCATAGCACAGCATTATTCTGTGTCAGTAGTTATACCGAATCCTGTCTGGATAAGCACAGGGCTAGAGAGAACAACAAATCAGACAAGCGTGCCTGTCAAACACTGTCTCTTTAATCTCTCTAAATGCAAGAGATTTCCAGATCAGCAAACGTGATGCAGCATCTCTCCTGCAAAAGAATGCCACAATTCAAACACCATTTTTCTCACAGACTACATAAAACTAATGCTACAGGGTCAGAAAATGAGTCTCTGACAGCTGCAAGGGACAAGCACAATAAGAGTCAACCTTGTTTTTCTCAGGCATGCTGAGTAACAAGAACTGCTAGAGGACACAATGGTCTGGTGGTCTTTTAGTTCTGCTTGCCTAGATCTCACTGTTACATTTATCCTTAAGGCTATTAAAGTATACATTCTCTTCAGACTATGCTTTCTGTAGTTAATCTTCAAATTGAAATAAGGTAAGAAAACAGTAAAAATAACATATTATTTTTAATTTAGGTAAGCAGAAATATTTTTTTTCTGTAAAAGTCACCATACTGGATATTCATAGTATTGAATACAGTAGTAGCAGTATTGTCGCTTTGCCTGTAACCGACAACACTATAGAAAGATAACTTCCATTCAGCTATTGTCACTCCTAATGTCCTGTGACAGCTACCACAGTTAAAAATATTAGCTATATCTGATATTTTCTCTCTGATCATAAATATAACAAATATAAAATTAATTGTTTATGAGATTGTTTCTCAACTCTATTTCTAAAGGTCCTGAAAGGTCCTCAGTTCATATTCAAGATAGTATCTAGGCAGTTTCACAAGTGCCTTTAAAAACAAAACATGTTTCATAAACAAAACTTGGAAATACATTATCAGATAAGACCTTTGTGCAAGGAAACAAAGATAAGATCACATTTCCAGCCTATTATGCAGTCTTGAAATTATCAAACTGAAGTTTTGCCCCCTTTGCCTCTGAAGGGAAGTAGTTAGATATTTATAATGCAAACTCTCTCTACAACTTTCTTAAAATTAAAAAGTTGCCATGCAGTTTCCTCTATTTTTTCCCAAAAATATGTAAGTTAACCATGTTAGTAAGGATAAAAGCAGTATCCTTGACAGATTTTGTGGGTAACACACAATATAAAATTCATTAATTTCACATAAAAATACGAATGAGGACAGATGGAGATAGGTTATTTTTCTAAAGATGATCCATGCACACAGAGCCCCATAATGGAAATCATAGCATGTAATTTTAACTCTAGGTTGCACCATTTTCTAGATGTCTTACAGTCAAAGGAAAAAAACAACAACAAAAATCCTAAAAGACAACCTAGAAAACAGCACAGAGCTAGGTAAAAGACACCATATTGTTGTTCAGGTCATGTTCAGGTCAGCACAGGTAAACTGTGCTGATTGTAAAGATACCCATTACAATCCCATCATTTACCTCAAGGATATCCAGGAGACAACAACTGAACTCCCATTCCCATGCACAGGGGCCCAACAGGATTTCCCTTAGCTCCTGAAAAGCACCATTTTATCAGATATGGCAGCTCTGTTGTAAATTACAAACAATTGAATGCTATTGTGTGCTATCAGATATTGACGCATCTGATTCAGTAGAGATTTCACAGCTGTTATTACTAAAACCCTACTTCAGCACCAATAAATAAGATGCCATGTTTGAGCTAGTCATTTTTCAAACAGAGAGAACATCATGATACTGAAAAATAATGCAAAGTTTAAGGCTTAAAGCCTTAAAACTCTTGTTCAAAGTATAAAGGAGTGATACTTTTCTCTCCTGCACTCTGCATATAACATATCCTTGCTACAACAACAATATAAGATGTGCCTAATAGACACTATTTGTAAGGCTATTACTATTTGCTAAACTGATAAAGCAATATCTAGTAAACTGCTGTTGCATCTGCTCCTCTCAAAGCTACAGAAAAGAAAGTGGGGAAGAATGCTACACAGCTAGGATCAATTAAGTATCTCTAGTCACAGTTGCTTTTAATTAATGCTTTTAATTAACAGTCATAACCAAGATCACATGAGCATTATCACAGCTGTTTCACTGTGCTAAAAGTTGTAAGAAGAGACAAGCAGCAAAGACTACAGCAACACAGCTGTAGCACAAATGGTTCTGTGGCCTAGACTAACAAAGTTGACAAATAGAAGAAAAAAAACCTCTGTCAACACACTTCTAAGAAAAAAAAATGTTGTCAATTGACAATCAACAACATAGGATTATACCAATTATGATTTATTAGTTTTTTTCTTACTGCTAGTAACTCTTTTTCTAATTACAAGGTTAGATGGACAAGACAGCAATCATATATCATGCATTACACATTCTCGTAAGAACAGACAAAGCAAACAAAAGAGCAGACCAAAGAAACCTGGGATGTCTATATAACAGCACCCCCAATAGTGGAAGACATATAGAAAAAACATAAGGAAGAGACAAGCTATCATGGGAAAAAGCAGTTACTCCAATACTGGGAGATGGGTACATACCCTAGCAGGTGTCCAAGAAAGCTGACAGAGGATGACCAACTTGAGAAGCACCAATAGGATGTTCCCTAGAGCAGATATCCCCTGGAATGACAGGAAGGGACAGCTACAGGTAAACCAAGGACCAGGCAGGACTAGAGGATCCTACAATTCAAGGGCAGGGAAGGACAGGTACAATCAGAAAGGAGGGAAAGAAAACACCCCTGGGGCAATAGTAAATAGGCAGGAAGCAGATCCCAGGAGGAGGGCCCAAAGGGCCTGGCACTCTGAGGCAGAAGAGCAGAAGGACTGTCGAAGAAAGCAGTAGAGAGATACACACCACGGCAGAATTCAATGCTTAGGCCTCAGAGGCAGGGCGCTCATCAGCGGGAGTGAGCAAGAGACCATGCACACCTGAAGTGGCAGAGCAAAGCTGCGAGCACTGTGCCAGGGGGAGCTCTGAAGGCCAAGCTGCACCGCAGCAGCACGGGAGCCTGCAGCACCTTCCAGGGGATGCCCGCGGAGCCGCCCGGTGCCGGTGCCGCCCGGTACCCGCTCGCAGCTGCGGGCCCCGTCACCATGAGAACCGCAAAAGGAAACGGAGAAAGGGAGGGGGGGCCTCTGAACAGG